GAAGGGCGAGAAGGAAAATGTGAAGAACATCGCCATATTTGCCCTCTTCCAACTCTAGACGCAGTTTACTTAGATCGTCACCTACAGACTATCAGTGAATTTAAAGGAACAGCAGCATAGAGAACAGCCACGATTCTGAAGTAGCTGCAGCACAACTGATAGCATTTTTGCTTTAAATTAAGTCCTCGAGTGCGAGAGAATGCCTACTTCTTCTGCCCTCTGTGCATTGCCTTCGTCGATTACGAGAAAGCGTTTGTCGAATGTGGACTGCGCTAGCAAAATTGGGCAGTGACACCCGTTACATCTACCTGTTCTAGGAAGCGAACTCTGATTGCCTTACAAGCGTCGTGCTCTCCGATGCCTCCCTCCGGATTCTCTTACAGAAGAACGTGAAATAATGGGATACCATCTACCCGAAACTTTTCCTTGCCCGTTTAAAGATGATGTTCGGGAGGATGAAGTGAAAGTGTGGGATTAGCATCGAGTTTGAACAGCTAAGTCACCTAAAAATACCACTCGGCTACATAACATGCTGCAAGAGCTCGAGAGAAACGGTGCAAAAGTCGAACTGAAAATTAGTCGGTTAAAGACGAAGACACTGTAGTGGAATGCCCTGAACAGGTAATATATAACAGTGGAAAGATCAGGAAAGTCGATAAATGCATCTGCCTAGATCACGAGATCGGCATGCCGCATGACTAGGCTGGAGAGACTGAACGAAAAATAGAGCCGGTTGGAGCGCGTTCCATTCCATCAAGGACATGCTCATCGTCAAAATCAGGAAAGAAATCCGCCCCTACCTTTTCAATTCTACCGTCCTGTCGGCAATGTTGTATGGCTGTGTGACGTGTATACTCACTAAAGCCGAAGAGCGCCAGCTATTTGACCCCCATAAGAGCCGTGGAAAGGAGAATATTCGAAATTTAAGTTTCGACCACATCCGCAACACTGTGATCAAACAACAGACGGTAGTGACGGATTTCTTCATTAACAGCAAATGGAAGAAGCGACGTTGTGTCAAGCACGTAGGTCGGCTTACCGCCGGGAGATAGTCGGCGATGATATAGACTGGCATCCTCGCGGTCATATATGCCTTTTTTCGCCCATCACGACGGTGGGAAAATTATGCCAGGGGCCGCGAAGGCCGCACTTGAATTGAGAAAGCTCGGGACCGCGAGAAACAGCGGTCTGTCCAAGTTATCTACAGAATTACATTATTGATGGACAGTTATGGATTTTTTACTGCAATTCTTTAGTCGTCGATTCTCTGTGTTAAAGGGCGAGTGGCGTTTGACATATTGATATTTCATTCTACGCATGGTTTCTTCTATTTTGTCAGATGAGAATCGTTCGAGTAATCCCTGACTTTTATCCATGTCTTTCATAGCGTCTCCGTAATACTCTCATTTTAACAGCATTTGAAGATTTGTGCTATCGGTTACAATTTTAGCGTCCCTCAGGGTCACTGCATTTTCATCGTTTATACAGGTCACTTCTCCAAAGTTTCTTGTTGTAATGTTCAAATGCGGATTATAAAGTATGAAAATGCGAGTTTTAACGCCATGGTACTCGAGAACAGATAGCAATTGCAACATGCTGTTGTCATACCGGAGTCGTTGATACAGTTTCTTGTGTACTAAAGTTGTGATTTTGTTACTGTTATGTGGGTGGAAGACGCAATTCACCGATATGTAAAGTACAGCTTTATCTTTTCCGAATTTAACTTATTTGTGCTTCAATAAATTTTGGGTCTGAATAGGAGAAAATGAACAGTTCATTTCCTTTTACTTTACTGTAACTGTCATGCCTTATAGCCCCCTACCTCTTTCTCGCCGTATTTTGTATTTCTGCCGCTTTCAAAGCGATTGTTTTTTTTGATGGTGTTCTGCTAGTCTGATGAACATATTTTGCATTACTCGTTAAAGTACTTTAATTGTGATACACTTGTTGCTTTTAGTGGTACCAGTCAAGAAAAGTCACTTTTGAAATGTTGGATACAGATCTGAATGCCCAGTCCCTAGAAGTAGTAAAAGGAATGAAATGGTCTGCATATGTGGAGAATTATCTAAGCCTGGTCACTCCAACGGAGACCGAACAACTTACGGAGAAATTTCTCATTCGAATGAACCAAAAACCGCTGTTCGTATTCAGGTACGAGTGTATTCTTCCACTGTCACATAATGGGTCAGTGTTTGCCCTTGTCATCGCACTGTGTCACGTTCATTAAGATATTACCAACTGTCTGTTATATCTGTGCTGTGCATTGAATGTGATTTTTGCCTCTTAGGACAATCGAAAAATCGTTGAATTTTTGCCGTAGGATCACCGTTGAGGCTTGACATTAGTATACACGGCAAATATTGATCAAAGACCATATCGCCGAATGCCGTGAAACCTGTGCGCAATGTAACTGACGGTTTCAATATTTTGATAGTCAGTTATGCATGAGTCCTTTCCGGGTTATCTTTCGAAACTGTTTCAGCTGCAGCATATTCAACTGTTCACAGCGTGTTTTTGATTCTTATTAAGATGGATTTTACTGACAATCACTATTTGGCGCTGAATTCTCTTTCGGAAACGCGATTGATTTTTTACTATTCATTTATTTGTCATTGTTTTGTGAATAACTTTCTAAATGATTAACTGAAGAAGTGACCGGAAGGCTATCGGTCATAGGTATTGGGAATTTGAGAGGCTCACCAGAATTTTGACTTTCATTACAGGACCATATGGTTTTAGAACATTCGAGATGTCAAGGGATGATGTAAAATTCTGGGTGATCTTTTAGCGTCCCCTCCAACACCAAATATTGCCAAACTTTCTACATGGGTTTTTTATTTTCAGGAAGGGGTTAGCATTTCTTTCTCTGTCTGATAGCGCGATTACTGCGGATAATTATATTTTTATCTTCAGGCACTCCTTTTTAAAGGGGTCACTTCACATCGCAGGCCAAGCAGATGAAACT